CTTATAATTTCATTTTGCCTCCATACGCGTGAGCGATTTAAACGCGGCGCCGGTACCCCCACTACTTTTTTTAGTTCGCAAAGAATGTGGTCCTCGCCGTAGACGGCGCTGAAAACTGTCCCCACTTTTCTTAGGAGTGAGTTTGTACCCCCTGGTCCATATTTATATAGTCAAAGGGATCACCAAACCAAATCACTTGCGCTGTTCAAACTTGCACTTGCGCGAACGCGTCTGTCAGTTTATGTATCAGATCTGTTTCTATGGCAGTTGATTTGAGTAATGGGAATACGTAAATATTTTCTATGTAACAAGTTTTGTTATTTTATACGTATATATATCTGTGATATTTTGTAAATCTCTATGAGAAGTTCTACGAAACCCAACGAAATGCTAGAAGCTGGTGAATCGGACGTAGAAATTATTTTGAGCATAAAGGAAGGTGATACAGTTTTTACATATTAAATTTTACATGTTACATATTTTTTACATATTAAATTTTATTTGAGAGAAAGTTTTTCTAAACATACTTTTTATACTTTTTATACAGTTTTTCAAAACATTTTTGACATATTTAAATATTTTAGAATCATGTATTTAAAATAGAATTCAAGAGAGAAATTTTGTGCTTTTTAATCAGAAGATGTATATATATTTTTTTATTTTTTAATAGGAAGAGGTTTTGAAGAAGTTTTACAACCAACTTTTTTGACTGGAACATTGAATGGATATTCATTGGATACTAATAAAGTTGACTCATGTCCAAATCCACAATATGAAATTGATCTGATTTGGGAAACAAATAAAACTGCATTAAGAAGGTGAGTATTTGATCCACAAAAATTATTTTATTAAAAAGTGGTTAAAACAATAATATATGAGCATAATATATGTTTTATTTTATATTGAATTTGTAGAATGCGATCAGGGCAAGTCCCATTAAAATTAGAATGTTTTGCTTTTAAAGAAAATGGAGATAAAGAGAAACTTGGATATGTTCTGTTAAATATACGTTCAGCTCAAGTAATAAATCAACAAGGAAAGCCAGATGTAAAAGCAAATTGGCATAAATTGCTTGGACTAAGAAGTGATCTTAAAATGCACAAACCTGAATTGCTTCTCACATTAAAGATTGAGGATAAGAAAAGTTCAAATTCAAATTCAACAGTAAAGGTAAATATAACATTAAGCTCTTTTATGTTACCAAACTACTTTAAAAATAAAAGTCTAAACAAAAATATCATTAAATCATAAATCATAGATAGAAAGTTCAGTGACTGATATTAATGTGCAAAATGATGAAATATCTTATTTACATTCTAATGAGCAATTGATTCAAGTGGGTCCCCCAAACATCTGTTATGATTATTTCCTGTTAAGTATCACTATCATGTCTGTAGAAAATTTGCATCTGTTATTACCTGACTATTTAAATAAGAATGGTTTTGTGCATTTCTTGTATCAAGTATTAGAAAATGACATAAAACTTAAATCCATCAAGACAGACTTTGGAAAGTGTGATTCTTTTTATGAGAAAGTGATGATAAAAATACGAAGCTCTTTAAATATGTTAAAATATTATCTACAATCAAAACCACATATGTTGATATTTTTGAAACATGAAAATAACATATTAGCTGAATCGTCAGTTAATTTGCAATCGCTAGTGCTTGCAGATAATTTTATAGAACCACTCAAGTGTAACATAAGTGCAAACACTGTGTACGAACGATGTTTCCTAACTAAACAAAATTCGATACAAAAACCTAATGAAAATCAATGCGAAAAATGTCATCTTGATTTAGAATGTAAACTATTATATATTGGTAACAAAGTAGACAGAGATACTGCATGTAATCCTGATACAATATTTTTTAACAATCAAATTCTGAGCAGTCACAATCAAGAAAATAAGAATAATGCTAATCAGGTAGAATAAAAATTGAAATATTTGTAGCTTTTTATATCTTAGCATACTATTGTATATTAGTGTAAATAAATATATTTTACATATATTTTTTATAAAAACATTTAAATTTAAAATATTGTCGGATTTTAGAGATGTCAAGGAATCGAATTTTATAAAACTTCTAATGGCAATATAGAAAAATTTAATTCCAACAATCATTTTGATGAGAGAATACATGCAACGGAATGTAATGATGTAAATAAACAGCCTGTTGATTACCAATATTTAAACTGCCAAACAAATAAAATCACACATTCATGTGATGAAACGATCTGCAACTGTAATAAGAATTACATCAAGAATACAGGATCTTATCATTGTTATTGTTTACATATTTTAATCGTGGCCGTAACATTGGTATCCTTCAAATTCTCTAAACGACAGATTGAGTTTCGGTTTGTTTAATTAAATATATTTTTTTAATTGATTTCTTAATTGATTTTTTTAATTATTTATCAAATAATATTTTTTTCTTTTTTTACAATTGTTATATATAGAGTTCATCATCCAAAAGCTGAGATTATTTCAACAGTGCACGCGACAATGCCAGTTTCAGCAGGTGAAACAATTAAGTTACGTGAGAGCGGATGTCAGTTTCACTTTATTTCCACGTCAGATGAAATAAAACAATTACTGAACTCTTTCCCGCCAAAGATTAGTATGCACGACGCGAACAAAAATGAATCATTATCACTATTAGTGCTTGACTTGAAATCTTTATTCGATCAGGTAAAGAATAATTAGAGATATATAAATTTTCTCAGTTCTAACTTTAATATTTTACAAAAGACATCTGAAATATAATAAAAATGAATATAACGTCTGTTTTTTTAGCCAGAATATCAACAAAACATATCTGTATATGATACAGATCAAAACAAAATTTGTGAGATGGATATTATGCTTAAACTGGAAGATCGTGGATTGCATTTTATATTGAAGAAAGAGAGTTCCAGTACGTATATACATGTATATATTTATTTAAAATTTCTTGTTGTGTGTCTTATTTCTTAACATTAGGTTTTTCTATAATTTTTAGTGAAAATTTATCTTCCTGTTTAAAACTATCGAAGTGATAACGTAATACATTTCTTTATTTAAGAGAAAAATTTAGGTCCGCCGATATTGGATGACAGTTTAGCGTATAAAATAGTAGATGAGCTCGAAACATGGAAGGAACGTCAAAAGGAAATGTTCAAGTTTGAGGTAAACCGATAAGACTAATTTGCTTTCTGTGTAACCGGGTTATTTTTATATGCGAAATGAATTATATACATAGCTGAAGAAAAAAGAGGAACGACATTTAAATATACTAAGCGAAGAATGGCGAAAACAAAAGGAAACTTTAGAATCAAAACTTGCGTGCAGCGTCGAGCAATGTAAAATGCTAGCCGCCAGTTTAAACAGTGCTACCGAAGACTTGAAAATGCGTAGATTAAAGAGTCTAGAGAACGAAACCAAACTGATTAAAGTAAACGAAGAGTTACAATGGAGATACGAAATCAAAGTACAAGAGCTTAAAGATTCTTTGCATGTGATGCAAGCTGATTTTACTTCAAAGGTTTGTGAAATATATTTTATAGTTGCTTAGGTTTTTTTAAGTATTTTCTTATTTTTATTATGCTTTTTATTATTTACTGTAAATATTAATTAATAATATATTAATAAATATTATTGACCAACGTAGAAATACACCATATTAGATAAATATATATAAATATATATTTATTTTGTATGTTAATACATATATAAATTAATATATTATTTATTAAAATATACATGATTTTTAATAATATTATCTTATGCGGTACATATACTTTTTGTCCAGATCACAAAACTTGAGGAAAAAAAAACTGCTTCAGAAGCACAATTGAAAGTGGTAATGCGTGAAAATGAAAATTTGAAATTGTCGATAAATAAACAGATGGAAGAGTTACAAATGTATCAGAAGGGATCTTTGACTCAGGATCAAACGACGTCCTTGCTGCAAGAAGTGAAATTGCTCGAGGAAAAACTAGAAAATGCCCGGAAGGGAAAATTATTTTTCAAAGAACAATGGGCCAAGGCGGTTCGTGAGATACACAGAATGAAAGTGGATTACCAGCAAGCCATGCAAGTTCAAATCAAAAACAGTAAAGAGGAACTGAAGAACGTGGAGTATGTTTTAGTTAAATCGAGCTTACAAGTGTTCTATTACAAGAGACAAACACCAATTTAATATAAGTTA